CTCTGGCCTGTACCCCAGTTCTGTATGAATAAATAAATCTTTGAAAAAAAAAGAATTATGATTTAGATAAAACCAAGTTTTTGATGTGTACAGGAGAAATAAGCTTCTCAAAAAAGTAATTTCAATGAAAAACATAGGCCACCATCCTTAAGTGAGAAGGTGAAAGAAAGTTTCCATAACCAGATAATGCCTGAAAACATTGTTAGTGTTAGTACAGGAAGTTGCAGAAATAAAGGTATCTTTAAGAAATATTAAATGGCCTGTAGGTAGGCAGAGAGGGAAGGAGAGAGAGAAAGAAAATATATACATGGTGTTGGAGTAGGAAGTGCTAAAGGATGAGACTGAGAGCTACAATTGTGAACTTTAAATATCAAGAGCTAAAGAATTAGAATTTTATCATACTTAGGTGGTGGAAAGTTAAATGACTAAAGGCAGAGAAGGAAAAGCAGGGGAATGGAGAACAAACGGCAGCTGTGATCAGTTTAGAAAGCTACTTCCATAGTCCATGAACAACAGAAAGAATTGAGAGATGGGTGGAATGAAGACATTTTGGTAATTAAAATTACTGGGTTTGAAAATTATGATCGCTAGTAAGTAGATCAATTTATTTTTTATTTTTACTGATTTAGTGTTGGTTTACATCGTTATGTTTTAGAGGTAATAAGATCCATTTAAAATCTTTCTTTAAATATATCAATTCATATTTCTCAAAAGGTGTCTTTGTCAAAGCCAAATTGAGCTTACGTTATTTATGTACAGGTTTAAATTATTTTAGCAATTCCTGATAAACATATTCTATAATGTCAGGGACTCCAAAATCATTATTTTATTACTATGAATGAAGACACCAGAAAGTCTGTAATGTTTTTGCCTTTAGTTTTCCTTAGTGTTTTAAAATGCAATTTCATTTTTTTCCACTTGGGTAAATCAGAAGCAGAAGTAAATGTCTACTCTCTGTTGGATATAAACTAAGCAACAACTCATTGCATGCTTCATAAATGTTTCTCAAAATGTACAGTTCCTCAGTTGCACCAGTCATATTGCAAGAGCTCAGTAGTCACATGTAGTTTGCAAGTACTGAGCTGAACTTAGTAAACTTAGGATAACTCCCTCCATTTAATAACTTATATTGGAAAATGCTGGTAAACAAAATTGCTTTTACAACCTAGTCCTGGGCCATAGGGCATAGGGTTTTTCTGGTTCAGATTCTGAATTAATCTATAATAATGTGCTTTTCATAGATACAAATTATATTTTCAGATTATAGTAAAATAAGACACTAATTACTAAAAGTATATGATATTTGTCCAATCACACAGAATTTCTGCATACTCATATTTACTTTTGTGGAATCGATACCCATGAAATAAACCCATGAATATCAAAATTACTTATTATTTTAGTTCATGGAGCAATTTAAATATCAATCAAATCATATAATCGAATCTTTCTCCTTTTTGTTTTTGCTATTCAGAAGGAAATAAATTAAAGAAGTAAAAACCAAATAATTCATCTCTGCCAATGGTGAATTTCAGAAGAAATACATTTTGAAAAATGTTTGTCCCTTCAGAATGTCACTTTAAGTATTCTACATGAACATCATTTATGAATCCATCTCTTGCTTTTCTGAAATGTTAGTATAATATATAAACTTCCAATTTTTTTTTCATAAAAATGAAACATTACAGAGCCTCAGTAATGAGAAGAGGCTCACATACTTTAGTGTTTACATAGTCTAACTGCACAATACCGAGTTCAAGCTGTGTTCATAGGGCAGTCACATCTTAGAAGAGCTAGGACAGGTTGCAGAATTTAAAGAAAGGAAACAATAACAATAGTCACTTTTGTAGGATTTAATTATATCTGTTTCATACTTTTCCTTTTAAGATTGAATAGCATACAGCAATCTTGACTGTTGAAAGTAAAATCCTATTTGTGGTCCCCACCCAGGGTGTGGAGTGCTGTTCATACCATACTCACAATACTGGTTCCAAGTCAGTCTCTCATAATCAGAAATGTGTTGCCATCCCACAGAGCAATGCATAATAAGTGTGTAGTAATTACATCACAAGATAAATGGAGACAGATATATTCATTTGAAAATAGACAATTTCTCAGATCTCAGATGACTGGAGAGAGGGGGAAGAATATGCTGGGGGCAAGGAAGAGAGTAGAAGAGTGAGGCAGTCCTATGCTGAGGTGAAAAAATAAAGTTTAAAAAAATAAAGCAAATGAAAAAAAGAGTGGCATCAAAATTTAAAATGAATGTCCAGGAAAGAAAAGCTAGGGTGTATTTCTTATTGCTCCTACACTTGAAGTGGAGAATTATTTGACAGGTTAACTTACTGGTAATAGTAAAAACCTTATGTCTATATAATTTCTAAATTTTCACTACAGTTTAGTTCTTGGGATCTTTTATTCCTTTCTCATTTTATTCCCACCCAAATCAGAGCACTCAATGCTAACCATTGTTGGAGGAGATAATTTTACGTCCTTATCTTGCTAGCTACAGGAGAACCATTTCACGGATCCTACCTTGGAAGCCCACCAAAACACTATCTACAACAGAACATGGGATACAACAGAGCTCTACCTTAGCCCCTATCTATTCAAGGTGGTTTATGACTCATTTTGAGCCTTACTTTAGTAACAGTATCTTATTTTACTGCATTCAAAGTTGTATAACGTTATCAGTAAGAGACTTAAGGGATTTGTGAGGCAGTTATCTGAATGTACAATTTCTCAGGCAGTAAAAAGGTTTTCCCAAAAATGTATCTGTTTTGTGTTTGAAACCAGAATAGCTGAGTAAAGAAAGCCATATTCTTGGTCTCAAGAGACCTGGGTTCTAAAGACAGCTCTATATGAATTATTTATTTCCTTTGGCAAAATAGTCCACTTTGGGTCTCTAAATGGTATCCAGATCCCTTCCATCCAAACTCCATGATTTTAATGTCTGGTCTCTCTTGTGCTAGTTGATGTTGTTAGCTGAGGGGATACTGTGCAGATCATTTAGAAAAAATCTGCTTTCAAGAGGCTGGGACCTGAGCTAAGGAACAGGCTATACATTTGCGACAAGGGAGACAACTGTCTTTACTACCAGTTCAACAATCATCCTTGCAAGAACTAAAATTTAGTGATTTCTTTTCTTCCAGTTGGTCTATCAGCCCAGTGATCACTGGAACATTTCTTTTAAAAAATTGTCAAGTAACAGCTAGTGGAAAATATTTAGGATAAATATAAAAATCTTTGAGGAAAATCTACTCCCATAATGATGATATTAACTAGTTAAGTGATCTCATAACAAGTGGATAATTTCTAAATCTTGTTTTATAACAAGCTACCATTTTGAAAAAAATAAGAATCCATAAAGATTATACATCATCTCTACAGAGATACAGAAGTATCTGGAAACAAGATGGTCTAGTTGATCTTAACACACACACAGAACCTGTGAAGATAAAAGGTTCATATGCAAACTAGGATAGTAATTTATCTTACTATTAATTTTGAAGTGATCAACATATAACCTTTTCAAAAAATATATTAAGGAGATTAGTTCAGGATGATTTACTAGGTTAAATATATTTTCATTGATGTTTGGCTTCTTTACCATTTAACTAAAACCAAGGTTCCAGTGTGAAACCACTTTTCTCAAAATTTTACTTGACATTATTGTTGACTTACAAAATATTAAATCAAATAATCCTGAAATACATGAGTTCACACATAAGAACATAATGAATTATTTTATTTTTATTATTTACATGTTAAGAAAAAAACTAAATTTTTAAATGTTAGTAAAATCATGTAGATAGCCATGTATCTTTCCTAGTGTATAGTGAGTTGACCACAGGTTTATCTATTTGTTTTCCACAATAGAAAAGATTTGTTTACATAAATGCCTCCTTGAGGGCATATTCTAAGGGTCAAACTAAATTATTATTCACATACTAGCTGTTGTGCAATACTAAATAATTGTAAAGCTTTTGAACAGAGAGACTTTTGAGTTACAAAAGTGTTCTTTGCTGTCACAGTGCTAAAGGTTTACTGATCACCGTTAAACTGACAAGTACATAAAACAAATTTCTAAATTTTTATTTTCTGTCTGAATGTTTTAAGATCAAGACCATTTTGTAAACTTGGATATTTTTTAAAATGCACTTTATGTAAAAACTGGAAACAAGAATTAAGTATTCAATAATTTCCTCCATAATTATATTTTTGTTATTTGCAATTGCTGATTTTAAAAATAATCAAAAAGTTTCACTAGAAGAATGGAGAGAATGCTCAGTGGCCAATAGCAATGTGGTTAATTGCTTTATAGTGTTACCCAATTAATCTATTTTGTTAGGCCCATTTTACATATGCGGCAAAAGACTAATAAAATCCAATTGTTGAAGGATCATAGGTCACAAATGGAGTAAGTAATTTAAGCTTAGGCCAACTGATTTTTATAAAGTTAAAAACTAACATTTTTAAGAAACAGATTGAAAAATTCATTCAGACCAAACAACCATAGTTTTCAGTTGTCATGTCCCCAAATTTGGTTTCTGAAACTGGTAGAATGACTGCACCATCACCATGCACTATGTCTGCCCAGAATTGCTCGGCAGTGTTTCTGATCTTCATGTATCAGTCATTTACTGAAGCCTCTCAAGAGGTGACAGAGGGTGCGCTGAAGTATTAAAAAAAAAAAAGAAAATACAACTCCTGCCCTTGAGGAATTAACAATCTAAAAATATAACTAGCTAAAACACTGAACTTTTTAAGTTGACTGTCCTAGATATGCTCAATAGAGAAGACATTGTGGAAGCAGCTTACTGTTTGGAATTTTGTTGGAAGAGACAATAAAATGGAGAAAAAGAGAGTCTAGACTTGGAACAAAAGATTGAAGTGGAAATAAGACTTGTGGAATGGTTTAATAACCCTTTTTATTTCAAAATGCATTTTAAATCTAGTAATTCAATTCTCTCTCTCTCGAACACACATAAATTACTAACCTTCTACATTCATGGCTTCCCTTAGAACCTGAAGTTTCTTTTGTCGCTCTCGGATTCGGTCCAAAGCACTTGATATGGCTGAGGAGGTGGGTACTTCTCGTGTGTGAAGCATTGAGTTTGTTTTCTGAGGGCCAAAGATATCCAAGGCAATGCTTCCATCTGAGTATCTTGCCTCTTTTTTCCTAGGAGTAGTAGAAGTCCTCACTGTTACTGCCCCAGGAAGACAGTGTGGGTATCTGCTAGTCTCACCAGAAGAGAAGTCTCTGTCAGCTGTGCAAAGCAAGTCCAAAGATGAAGCCCAAGTCTTCTTCTTGGAAATCACATCACTGCCAGGGAGAACTTTTTTTTCTGGGTCACTAGTTTTGAATTGGTAAGGGGAGCAGGTATTTTCAGAATCTTCATTTCCTGAATTATTGTCTGATGAAATGTCCTTGAAATAATCTTCCTCATCTTGTGTGTCTCTGATGGACAGAAATCCCATAGATTTACTAAGCCCTTTGTTAAGAAAGGTCTGATGAGAGAATGGAGACTTGTGTATGTCTAGTACATCAGAAGTAGAGCTTCTTCCTGGAATGATAAGAATCTATCATGTATGCACAGAAGTTTTAGAAATAGCTGGAATGTAACCTTACTATTGACAATGAAAGTATTTCATTGGGAACTTTCTAAATTAGCCAAATGGAGGAACAGAGATGAAATGGGAGGGTGGAGGTAGTGAAAGAAGTGGAGAGATGTTATATTTGCATAACTTTTCAAAGTCCAATGATTTTTATATAATGAAATCATAAGCTGAACTTTATTGAGTAGTATTTTATATTCATCAAAGGTGAATTATTTGGTCTCTAAAAATAAAAGTTTCTAATACCACTTTGGAGGTTTACTAGTTACTCATGAAATGATCTGTAATTAATAATAGAATGTAGAATGTATCCTTTAACTTCTACATGTGAAATTCATACATGCATTACTTTAACATAAAGCCCTGGTACGCTCGACCATGAAATAAATATGTCTAAAGGTTAGACAAAGAATTCTTCCTATATTCTAGATGGAAAAAAAATTGTAGCATTTGGAATTCTTAACTACTAATGCTCTATCATGATTAAGTAATCATCAGAAAATGCGATTATTTAAAATTCAGATAGTTTGACTTGAAATTATATGAGACTTAATTTTTCATCTAGTTTCCAGTAAGTACCAATATTTTAGATAAAAAAAATCTCATTTTATTTCAACATAAAAACTGTCATCTGGAGATTAAATTTTCTTCTACCTGTATGTCATAAAATTAAGTGACACAGGCACAGGCATGAAGAATATATAAAGACTGGCAACTGAAAAGCTTAAGCACCTAGGTTTCTGTTTATTATTTCTCATAACTAACATTGTGAGAAATATAACAAAATTTTATAATTAAAATTTTATAACTATAATTATATAAATCACAAACATTATTTTGAGCTAAAACAAACATATTATTTTGAGCTAAGATATTAGTTGAAATTTTAAAAGTAATTTTCTCAGTGACATGATGAATAAGTGAGAGTAGGTGTGGGGTAAGTAACTTAATTTTCCATGCAGACCATCATGTACTAAAATACTACTTCCTCGCAAACATAACTGACACCTGTCAACAGGAATAAAGTAGCATATTTATTTATTCTTTGGTTTTTGTTGTGACTAAAACCAGTAAGCCATTCTAACTTTTAAGGCAGCAAACTTTAAATATATTAAGATGCAGTAAAAATGCCCAATCAAAAATTGTTTTAAATAAAGATTTAACAGCAAAAATCTCGTGTTTATGTGCGTGTGCATGCATGTGTATCTATTTATCTCCGGTATTGTAAAAGAAATAAACGGAAAATAAAATTTTAGTTAGTAAACGTGTTACACAGATTTCCTGTGTACACATCTGGTATTCCTCTTTGACTACCCATTTATATATATAATACAATATAATGACTAACACTTTCCTAGCACTAATAGATTGTCTATTACTCATATGAAGAAGTCAGTTACTCCTACAGGGTAGCAATTATAACTTTCAACTACCTGACTGCAAAATTTTATCTTAAAAATCTTTAAAAAGTTGAATTTGGTCCTCCCTGGTAGCGCAGCGGGTTAAAGCACAGCACTAAGAAGCTAAAGCCACTTCCACATGAGTTCGATTCCTGCCTGCCCTGGAGGTGACCACGTGGCTCAGCAGACCTCTCCTGACCCACCCAACTGCTCCCCTCAGCAGTGTACTTCATAGATATGCCTGTTCTACTTCCCACTCTGTCTCTGGTGAAGCCTCTCGCCGCCCCTAAGCCTCTGGTCTGTACCCCAGTTCTGTATGCACAAATAAATAAATCTTTAAAAAAAAGTTGAATTCACTTCAGAATGGTAGAATTTGATTACTTGAGAATTAGACTCAGACATTGTGTTTTTCTTATAACTCATTATCCCCTGAACATGGATCACTTAAATGCAAAGAATAAGATTAATAGCTGGGCATGTCATATAAGAAATATATAAAAGTAGGGTAAAAAGAGACATATACAATACTACCACATCCAGATACAAGATTGTCACTGATTCTATTGAACAAACCATATTTGGAAACTTGTTATTTTAAAATTTTATTTAAAAATAGAGGATATTCTTGAAAATAGAATACATTAGATAAAAAATGAGAGTTGAAAGGATGTAAGGATCATAAAACTACAGAGGAATTCAACATAAAATAGTATATGCTTTCATATACTATTTTAACTGGCAGCAAAGTAGAAAAAACCTGGAGAAAACTGAGTATTCTGACAACACCCAAATTCAGTCACTGTGGATATTCAATTTATATATTAATAGTAAGTTCACTTAACTTTCTTGTTTCATATTTTACTAAGAAGGGGCCCTCCCTGGTGGTGCAGTGGGTTAAAGTGTAGCACTATGAAGCTAGCCACTTCAGCATGAGTGTGATCCCCGTCAAGGGAGCTGACACACACGGTGCAGTGGATCTCTCCTGTCTCACTCCCTGCTCCACTCAGCAGTATTTTTCAGTCAATCTGCCTGTCCTGCTTCCTACTCTGTTGCTGATGAAGCCTCTCACCTCCCACACCTCTGGCCTGTACCTCAGTTCTTACATGCATAAATAATTTTTTAAAAAATAAAATTTTTTCAGCAAGAAAATAATTGTCAGAGGGAATTGTTTTCATTTCCCCATAAATCTAATAATGTCTGCAAACCTTTACCCTGTTCTCTTAAAAGATGAATTCTTGGGCCCTCCCTGGTGGCGCAGCGGGTTAAAGCACTGCACTAAGAAGCTTAAGCCACTTTCGCATGAGTTCGATCCCCACCTGCCCCGGAGGTGACCACATGGCGTGGCAGACCTCTCCTGACCCGCCCACTGCTCCCCTCAGCAGTGTACTTCGTTGATCTGCCTGTTCTGCTCCCCACTCTGTCTCTGGTGAATCCTCTCACCCTCCACATCTCTGGCCTGTACCCCAGTTCTGTATGAATAAATAAATCTTTAAAAAAAAATGAATTCTTTTAGTAATTGAAAGTCATACTGCAGTATGTGTTCAATCTCTTCTTTTTACTTTTACCAAAAATCTTTGGTTAACTTCTTTCTCTGCTCAGGTCTTCATTAATCCCCATATCTACTGACTCATTTCCATTTGTATACAAACATGTTCTAATATCTCCATAATTAAAAACCTACTTAAAAGAAATCTCTACTTACTTTGTTATATTTCCTTCTAGCTACTGCTGTCATCAAATTATTACTTTAAATTCATTGTTTGACCGACTTTTAATTGGCTTCTAACTCCTGCACACCTTGACAATTCTCATCATGTTATCTCTGAAGAAATCCAAATTGCCAAACCCAATGGACACATGTGTATCCAAATTTTAGTTACCTTTCACCAATAATTGATAGTGCAGAAAACCCCTTACTGAATCTCCTTCCCCTCTTTATAAGCCTGTTTCCTACTCAGACTGTTCCTCCTTATGTTGCTTTTTCATACTCTAATGGGATACACTGGACTTCCTCAGGTAGTAGTTATAGAACCCTTTTTACTCTTTCCTTCAATAGTTCCATCTATTAAAAGACTAAATTTATCTAAATATTCATAACCCCCAAGTTGATATTATTGGCACCCACCTCTTTTGGTAGCACACATCTTATATAACTGATTACTAGTATTAGCTCAGAAACACCTAAAAGCTTAAATTAATTTTTTGTTTCCCACATCTAGAGATGTCCAATCTACCTTAGCCTTCCTTATTTCAGTAAAAGGCATCAATATCAGATATACAGTAACCATCCCCAAATCCTTCAGCCTCCTTATTTCCTGTATTAAATCCACTAGAAAGTGCTGGTTATTTAAATTCTCAAAGATATCATACTTCATATGATTATTTCCAATTCCACTGGTATCATCCTATGCCTAATGATCACCTGACCAGAAAACTGCAATATGCTCTAGATAGAACTACCTATTCTCAACAAACTATTCTCAATTTAGCAACTAGAACTGTCTTTTCAAAATATAGGCTTCATGATTCTACAACCCTGTTTCAATAAGCTAAAAGGCATATTTTCCACTACATAAAATTTATGCTTCTTTTGGATCCTTTTCAGCTTCACCTCCACTTCCCTTATTTTACTCAGGCCACACGTATTACTCAATGAAGCTCTTTTGCATGTTAGGATCCTTTGTGGTCTGCTGTGAATGGCCTACTCCAGGCCTTTCTTATGGCTAGTTGCTTTCTATCCTATAGTTTTACTTCAGAATTCCCTGACCACTTTTGAAATAGGTCACTTTGTAAATGTATAACAAATCTGTTACATTTATATGAAGCAGCTTTTTCATTTTTTTAGGTCATTAGTATTTACTAACAATATATCAGTGAGCAACTTTATCCTGACAGTGTCATGTCTTCTCACTAGCTATATGAGGCCCAAAAGAATTTGCTAATAGGGAGGCTCTTAGATCACCAATGCTTTATACTTTCAGTTCTCTTCATATAAAATAAGTACATATAAAACATTTCAGTTCATATATATGTGAAGTCCAGGAAGATTTCATTTTAACTTCTGCAAGGCAGTACCAAACTATAATGAAAATAATTCATATAAAAGTTTGTACTAACTTCTACTCTGTTTCTACCTTTAAGTAAATTTGCTGTTTGAAAGTCACATGATTAGAGATTATTTAAAATCTGATGATTATTACTTATAAATGATCATTTCAAACCTTAATTGCATCCTCTACCAGTAGCCAAGAGGACAAAAACAGGGATGGTGAAATAGCAAGTGAAGGAAGAAACAAAGGACCAGGGTACTGATATACTAAGGAAACTAGGCAAAAAGTTGTGGGGGTGTGAACAGTTCCAAGTGATGAGTGTAAACTTGTCAGAGATGGCCTATGTAAAACTATGAGAGCTGTGAGCAACACAACCATTAATGAAGAAACTGAGTATAGATTACCCTTTGAAGGAGAAAAAAGAAGGGAAGAGATGTGTTGAGGTAGTTTATCCAGTGACTGTCTTATCCTAGGGTTGCTTTGTTTGCTTTTTGGAGG